CAACTTCAACATTCCACAAATCCATCGTGTACTTCCAAATTGCGAATTCAGACCAACTGTCTGTTATGGGATTGGCGGCCACTTACTCATGGTGCTGTTGCCATCATTGGCGACAGTATGTAATTCACCTATCACAGCCACGATTTGCACGCACCACTTTTCTTGAAAGGCAAAGTTCGGGCTCAGACCCACTTAATGAGCCTTTACGGTGGCTAGAAGCGCTAGGTACGCAAGTGTAGAGGTCGCGTCACTTCCCTACTTCGAAAAGCGTTATTTAGACGCTAGGCGCTAAGAACTTTGACACGCTCCACCTGTTGCGACACGCTCCGCCCACCGCTCGATATCTTGTCTGCGTCGCTAACTTGATATGCTCTCTCTACTCGTACTTCTCTAGCGCTCTCCGCGCTCACATTATCTCTCATCTCCCTGCCGGCCTTTTGAACTTCTCCGCAGCGTAGAGCAAAAGGCTCGTATTTCCTGTGTATTTCACGATTTTTTTTCCTTTTTTCTCCACTGGCGGTCCACCTCCTACCCCTACTTCACATTTGAGTGGAATTACCTCATCAATTTGATTTTGAATCTTGCCTTCAACACTCTTACTGGACGTTGATTTAGCACTTTAAGGTTGGCATTGCATATCTTACTGCATTCACCGCTCGTTCCTCTTCCATTACGTAGATTTCTGCTCACTTTTATTACATTGAATATCATCGAATGTGGTACCACTGTGAATTTATGGGATTATCTCAGGAATGTTACCATGAGAAACTATCCGAATATGACGTGTTCCGATCGAAGTAGAATTTTTTTAGAGATTGCTGGAATTCTTCTATTTGGAATCGAACAATTGGTACACATTATTTTAATCAGATCGGGAGCTTGCAGATCGATGCAGAAAGTCATAAAACTGATGGTCTTACATTTCAAAAAGAGATTATTGTTTTTTTTTCGATTGACTTATTTGTATAGTGTTTCCTGATATAATGTGCTTTTGTGAATACTCCAGATACCTCCCTTTAGATCTTTGGACTTAGGCTAACCCATCCCAATTTTTCGTAGTACTAAGGCCGTTGACATTCACTCACCGTTTGCAGAGCTCTGCTACGTTCATGCGTGCTTCTTACATTTTGGCCCATGCTTCGCGCTCTAACAATTATGGATCAACCTGTCTAGGTGATACTTCGGCAATTATTGAATTTCGCAGCACGAATAACCACAGACAGACAAGAAGACTCAAAATCTCATGCATATTAGTGATGATCCTTGATGGGCGGAAGTGGTGTAGTGACAAGTGGCGCGCTTACCACGCGAGCGGTCCGGGATCAAATCCTGGGTCGTGAGTCGCCCGGGCCAACCAAGCCTTCCATCCCTCCGGGGTCGGTTAATTGGTACCAGACTTGTCTGGGAGGATAAAAACACTGACTTGTACATCGGCTGGCCCCGCAAGTCATTGTATAGGCCACATCGCATTCAAACGCCACTACGAATGTACAAATGGAAGTAGAATGCGTGCCGCATCCCAAAAAGGGATTGATCAACGGCAAATGCTTTATCCTTTATCCTTTATTTATTTAATAAGC